GCTCGGGCCAAAAAAAGCTCGGGCCTTTTTTTTTCCCGGCTCGGGCTCGGGCTAGGGCTAGGCTCGTTGCCACCGCTAGAAGCAATTAATAGAGTTGCAGCAATTACACATGATCCTGCAATAGATCCAACTATTCTTCGGCATCTTTTGGAATCATTCAACTTGAATAAAATTGAGTCCCATTCTTCCATTTGCATATGAGCACCATTGGAGAAATTTTCCATCTCTGTTTCAAGAACAAGATTAAGATTATTGTAGGAAGTTCAATCAAATCTTGTACAATTGGACAACTCATTGACAGTTCAATTTGTTAACACTTTCATTTGTCAAGGATGCAATTCTTTATAATCCTAACACCAAATTTGAGTCATGCCGTGTATTTCAAGACGTATTCCTTCTGACCAAATAGAAAAAGACGTGCCTTTTTTTTTTACGAAACTGCATTCAACTCGACACATTGGATATCACACAAATTCAGAGTGGGTTTGGAATGGAGAAAGATTAATTATTTCCCTATTTCCCTATTTCTTCATTTATTAGCACTTAGCAGATCAGGTGACAGGTCATGAGGTTTTAATTTCCATGGGCATATATAGGGTTGATATCTTCACTTACGTGTCCATTTTAACTGAAAGAAGGACCAAACAGAACGGTAGTAAATAGCATGGTTCCTAAAACAGAAAGGGCCTTTATGACCGTAGAGAAAATGATTTTCAGTGTCAACTAGAAAATTCAGAAGATATTTCATTAACAACCAAGGTTATGCACAAACCAAGTGCATCATGAGATTTAAATAGATGAAGCACTTCAAGCACGAAAGATGAAAAACGTGAGAAAATATGAAATGTAGATGCATATACATGTATATTTTACAAACACCCAAAAGTTCAGGTATATTCACCCGATTCCATGGAATCTATATCCTTGGTATTTTCAACATATGAATTGGAAGTAGGAAGCTTTCCTTTTTTCTTCTCTGCATTCAATATGTTAAACTTGACATCCTTCCAAAATGACTCTGCTTTGTTTGGTAGTGTACAAGCCTCGTTTTTGGATGCCTTGGTCATTTCAGCCACTGCCTACAGTAATAAAATAATCAACAAATTGAGTAAGGTTGTCAAGCAATGATGACAATAGCTAGGGATAGCACGAATAAATATAAAAATGCCAAATCAGCAAAACCGTGCTAATTAGCAAAAGCAAGCAATTGACTAATAAAGCTCCTAAGTTGGTTCAAAAGAATTAAAAAATGTACATGTGAAAATGAATTAATAAATCAAGGTACAGAGCACTTTACAATAGATGACACAATCAAAACATATAATGCAACACAAAGGAAAAATTGCTTGCAGAGATAACCTTTAAGAAGGAAGTGGTCAAATTTGGGTGCTGGTGCTTGCCAAGAATTTCAAGTTCCATAGACACTTCATACATTTGTACAAGCTTATTGCTTCAGGTCATAGGTGTTGCACATAAAATCAAAATGATAATGAAACCTCATCTCTTGAAAAAGCAATGTCATGAACAAGACAAACTGAGAAATTTATTTCCTGAAACAGTAAACTCATACCGGCTCCTCCAATAATGGCAGTACTTTATCGGAAACTCCAACATAAAAAAGCACGTGGGGGTGAGTTTATTATATTATATTATATTAGGAAAAAAAAACCTGATATTTTAATTTTCAAACTATAAACATGATTT